TGTAGGGAGGTACGTTAGGCCGTTAGGTCAATCACCGTGTCTCGTCGTTATTAAATCAGAGGCTACGTTCGGGTGTAAAATAATAGCGCCGCCGTGGCACGTAATTTATAATATCGTAATGGCATCGCGGAGGCGGGCTGTGAGTGCTTCATCCCCTTCTCTCTCTCTCTCTCTCATCTCTCTCTCTCTCTCTCTCTCATCTCTCTCTCATCTCTCTCTCTCTCTCTCTTCTGTTTTTTTATCAAATTTGCCTCGAGTATTTTAATCCGGGAGACAATCCGGTGTTGGTGTTCCTTTGCCTTTGATCGAGACGTCTCTACGGGCATTTTCACGTTGTACGACGATTGGCTGCTTTTGGCGCTCGCTCGGCAACGGTTGACTCGCGCAGTTTTTCATTACCGCCTCGACACTCGTGCCTGTTAACCGGAATATTTAGCGAACGTTGGGTGCCGATCGGTGCTGGTTGGCGGGGCTCTCGAATTAGGATTTTGCGCCGATAAGAACGAAAATATTGGAGGGCTGCCAGAAAGGCGCGACTCACGTGTGTCACCGATGTCAGTCGCGCCCGTTCGCGCTTACAATCAACGGAAATAGCGTCAAAGATTAAGCGACATTAAGGGAAATACGTACTTAAATACTTGATTTACGTTGTTTTTCATTGGTCGTAATGGGTGAATAACGATGGCGACTCGACGAATACGAAATCGGAACGATTGGTCTTTCGTCTTTATAGCGCGCAACTGAAAATATCCCAACGTCGGCGAAGTGGCGAGTGCCCGGAAGCTCGCGTTGCTCGTCAACCTTCTGAAATAAGAAATACACGGCGTACTTTCCGTTAATTGAATGTTATTATAACGGATAATTAGAGGTTTTTGGGCCTCGTTGCACTAAGCCATTTGTGGCTTTCGTCGCTCTCCTTCTCATTCAACTTGCCGAATACCCCTATTCGACTCACTTCTTCAGGGCTAAAGAATCAGCGAACCACCATTTCATATTAAAGTTTAACTAATCTCAAGTACCGAAGGAAAAATGCCAGATCGAAACTAGAAGTGAATTCTAGTTGTATAATTTCAAACTATCGACAAAACGTATTTTACAACTTCAACTTCGTAATTTTTCATCTTCGTAAAGAATCGGATAATGATGCTTAATAAACGTGCAATTAAACATCGAATGCTCGTGGGAATAGATGGGGAGCTCGATCATTTTATAGGAAATGGCCGTTCGATTAAAAAATCGAAGAATATAATAGAGTCTCGAAGCCGCGATGCAATGGTGGTAGGAGGAAAAATATAAACGACTATTGAAAAATCCGTTGAAGGAGAACCGTCGTCGAGCGAATGCACCCTTTCGGAAAATTCAAAAAAGCTTGACGGTGACCTTGGACCACGTACGAGATAAACACGGCCGAGATGATCTGGCGCTACATCACGGCGTTACAGCTCATTAGCAATGAAAAACGCAGTGTCTCGAGCTCGTGCACGCGCCCCATCCTGAAATAGCCGGCCGCGCGTGCACAGATGTCGAGACTTTGTTGTTTATACGGCAGATTTTGATGGGCAATCTCGATGTCCTTGTAGCGAGTCGCTGAAACTTCGACAATGGGTGGAGCGCGGTCCACGATTCCGTTCGGAAGTTACCCAAGCACTGGGAGGCCGAGCGTCGCCCGCGGCACCCACGCTACGAAGGTGACCGACTCCGGAACGAGGATATCTCCGACCAGCGGTGCCGCGCGTCTGCCCCTTCATCCGGTAAGTATCATTGTAATTTCCGGCCGACCTCTTATCCCCCCCCCCCGCCCAAATCACACTCGGTTCGCGTCCCGATCATTTCAAGGCAGTTTGCTTGCCTCGCAATGTTTATGCGCAAATTGCATCGCCAACTTTGGCGATATCACAACTTTTGCACGTAAGCGACATTTTCGACGTGTATATCCGTACGAGGAAGAACTTCTTTGATTTTACTTTTGAAAGGCGCTTCTTTGAGCGCTTAGCGAGAGGGCCAATCGGTATTTCGTAATGACGTGGTGAATGAAACTCGAATACTGTATATACGATTTAAATATCAGAAATTTTTCAACAAAAAAAGCTATGATTTTAAACGCTTTTAAAATAAACGTTTGTCATATTTTCGATCCCCTATGGACGAAACCAACGAGCTTAATAGAAATACGAAGAATTAGCAAATGTCTATAAAATCATTAGATATGTAAACGATATAAGTGTATTATTTATTACATTTATGTGTGTGTGTGTGTGTGTGTGTGTGTGTGTGTGTGTGTGTGTATATACATATATATATTTTGTTGTTTTTTTTTGTTGATAAATTAAGAATTAATAATACTATCAGTTAAAGTTAAAATTTTTTATAAAATATTCATACTAAAAATATCATTGACTTTCATTTAAGTAAAAATAAATTGATCGACAGAGCACGAGACAAAATTGGCTAAATTATTTATTACATATGTGCGTATATACAGATGTATGCACATATATATTGGGTAATAATAAAAGTGTCCATGCAATATATTTGATAAAAATCATAAAATATAACACGACTATTCATGAAGTAATGGGAGAAAATAATGAATCTTCATACATATCGTATTTCGATAAGCCATGAGTAAATTAACTCGTATACTTATTAATACTCCAGAAAATCAACAGCGTACGAAGCTTTGAAAATTGCCAATAAATCGTAGAATAAGGCTTTGGAGGATTCTCTCGTTTAAGGGAAAACAAACGATAGGCTATATTTATCTATCTTTAAGGGTCAGTGTGTGTGTATGTGTGTGCGTGTGTGTGTGTGTGTGAGAGAGAGAGAGAGAGAGAGAGAGAGAAATATAGAGAGAGGAGATGTAGCGTATAGAAACGGAGAAATAAAGAAATAAGTTGAAAGAATAGAAAAACCAATGTACGGCTAAATTCGAGAGGCGCCTACGTGTGTGCACACGTAAATTTTTGAAGTGGACTGGAAGAAATCGAGAAAGCCGAAGAAGTCGCTTTCAGCGGCTTCCGAGCGAATAAGCTAAACAGGCCAAAAGGCCGTAAAAAGAGAGACTATGGCAAACACGATAAACAAGAAAATGGATAGAGTCCGTATCGCAAGAGAATAATGAAGAAAGAAAATTGCTGTCAGAGCGGGATACTGAGAAGGGGGTTGGCCGATGAGGGAGAGCAAAATGGGTACAGGAGAGAGACGGTAGATGCGCTGACGTACGCTTAATATCGCACGCAACCAGCCGAGGACTTGACCGACATATAAATAGCGCGCTTAAAGTGAACAGCACAAGTGATGCTTAAGTTGACGTTGTACGGAACGAATTGTCAGATGTGGAGAATGTGGCGTAACATAAAAGTGATTTACTAATTCCACTGATTTAAGCATCTCCCACTCTATTTTATCTGCTGTCGATTCGACAGACCCGCAACGCATCATCATCATCGAATCAAATAGTCAGAATCCAGGCAAATTCGATCGGTTCAACTCTTCTTTTCTTCACTTATTTATATGATTACTTCTTACATTATTTTATATATTGGAATAAATTATTAAGATATGAACAATTTGAGCTAGACAAGTTTATAAATCGTGTGCTTATAAGATAATACATTTTACAAGAAAACAACAAAAAGAGTTACAATAATGTCTCTCCTATTTTTAAAGCTTTTTATATCCGAATTTAAATTATCCAGATGATAAATTATCTTCCTATTAGTGTTTAGCAATAAATGCAAATGTATGGAATACAGTTGTAGGAAAAATTGGAAGAAGTATTTAAAGACTTGTCGTAACGCGTAATATATAATACTGCTACTGCTACTGCTAGTGCTACTACTACTGCTACTCCTACTATTACTGCTACTACTACTGCTACTTTCAGTACGCCAAAGCTCTGTCGTGTTTGTTAATAGCGGCAATTAAGAGATGCGAAAGACTTTTTGGTAATCGCTGGTCGGCAAATAGCTTTGACGCACAAGAAGCAAGCAATTTAGAGTGCAGTTTCACAAGTTTAAACTTAGTTATTGTCTTTTGTGCTGTTCTGCGGATTTTGGCAAAGGCCGAGAGGAGCTTTACGTAGCTGCGCGCGAGTCGGTGGTGCACAGCTTCAGAATACGCGACGACTTTCGACTATCACCACGACTTCCTCGCACACCTATATCTCACGCATCATTAATATAGAGAGAGCGTTATTAAAAGACCGTCATTGAAGAGCAGTGGCACGCGCACAATAGCGCATCGCAACAAACCTCTCTTTACACACGCGCACGCAACCACATCAAAAAACCCCTTACCCATCCGCCCCTCTCTCGCTCATTCGCACACACTCTCTCTCTCTCTCTCTCTCTCTCTCTCTCTCTCTCTCTCCTCGAGTGACTCGAGTGACTCGAGTCCCTTGCGCGCGCCAGCACCTGACGAGAAGATAGGGAGAATCCCCCCACGAAGGACGGAGACGCGCACCGGCGCAGTATCCCTTTTACCCCCGCCTTGCCCCCGGCCCCGCGCCATGATCGGTACGTACGTCGCGCGTTGGTGGCCAGGCGGTCGTAGCGGGGAGTGCGGCGAACGATGAGCGACTGACTCCGAGTGCGTGGCGAGGGGACGGGAGAAGGTGGAGGAGTAGTAGGAGAAGGTGGAGGGAGGGGGGGGCGAGAGGGCGATCATCAACCAGACGTGCTTTCAGAAGCTGCGCAAGGTCCTGGTGGAGGGGCAGCAGGGGAAGCGCGACTCCCCGGTCGCCTCCCGCTCTCGAAATAGCGCGGAGGCCGGCCTCCGCGGGCAGCAGCCGAGCGCCGCCAGGAGGAAGTCCGCGCGCGGCACAGACGTCCTGACGGCCGCCGTGACCAGCAGTAGACGCGCCCGCTCGTCCTCGCCGGTCCTCTCGCGGCCCCGGGGCCCCGGCCTCTCCAAGTCCATTTCCGCGCCCGCGGAACTCGAGCTCGAGGCCCCTCTCGCCGGCATCCTCAAGCGCTCCTCCACCTTCTTGGCGGGGCTCGCGCTCCTACGTCGTCGATCCCGGGCTTCCTCACCCAGGAAGTGCGTCTCCTTCAGCGCGGACACGAGCTTCGCCGGGACGATCGAGAGGACGGCGGTTCACGAGGCGCGACTCTACAGGCGGGGCGTCCTCGAGGGTGAGTTCCGAGTGAGTCGCGGCTCCACCGGAGTCTCTGAACGCCCAGTGACTCTCAGCCCAGCCATCGCTTCTTCCGCAGATCGCCACGGCCGTGAGGACGAGCCATCCGCGGAGCTGCCATCGCCTCGACTGGATGCCCCGGGCGGGCCCCGGGCCCTCCTCGGGGCCGCCCATGAGGGCGACGACGAGCTCGCCAGGAGGATCCTCGCTCAGGCCAGGAAGCCCGTCCAGGGGGAGCCGAACATCGAGGTGGACGCCGTCGATGCCAGTGGCAGGGTGAGTCTCGGCCTCGGCTCGGTATCACTCGCGAGCATAGGTGCAACCCCGTAGCGCATGGGGCGAGGAGTCGCTGGCCGATTGGCGAACAGTCGGGACGAACGTCGATGGGCGCGGCATTCGACGGCAACTGGAGCGATTCCTTTTCATTGTGTCGCGTAATTGTGAGCGCGCAGCATCTCGGCCCACTTAGCGGCGCATAAAGCCTCGCCGACTACTTAATAAATTGATTCCCGATACGCGTCCCCACGTCGGTGTCGCTACAAATATCTTCATCTGCCCCTCGCTCCCCCACCCCACCCGACCCTTCACACCGCACTGGTCACCACTCCAGCAAGCCGCGTACTCGTGGCACATAGATGGTTGGCGAAGGCACGATAATGGCTCGCTATCCAGGGTCCCCACGTCCTCTCCTTTCACGCATGAGAGTGAAAGAGAGAGAGAGAGAGAGAGAGAGAAAGAAAGACATAACGAGAGAGGAGAGTTCGTCGAAAGGCGAACGCGAGTTATTTATGTAAGGCGATAGGCGCGCGACTCCTCCTCGTCAATCAGTCGTCTCGCGATTTCCTCTTTGTCTCCGGTCGCACGCTCAGCGTGAATCTAATTTGTCTTTGTCGGATGAAATTACGCTTTCGAGTCTACTTGGCGTGATTATCGCATTACGTCAAAATCGCTATTACATTGCGCGAAGCGTACGTCCTGAACTGCAGCAGCGACTGTCGGAATAGTTGAGGAGTTTTCTGAGTTGCCGTCTCTCTCTCTCTCTCTCTCTCTCTCTCTCTCTCTCTCTCTCTCTCTCTGTCTGTCTACACGAGATTCCAAAACTGTCGCCTTGTCTCGTAATCAAATTCTGACGCGCATTATGAATTTTGCAATTCGCGATAGAGAAGCGATCGAACGCTTATGTAGTCTCGAGTCGACCTGACGAAATCCTATGAATTTTTTATCGACGCTGCACGCTGGTAAATCATTGTTTAAAGTTACGACGTTCGTTCGCTTGTATTCCGCGCTCCCTAAACCGCTATATTATTATGCGACCAATGAAAAAAGCCGCAAACTATTAAAATTCGACCGTTAGTCACAAATGTGAAATTTTCCATGCCTTTGTATTGAATATAAAGTTGGCGAATCAAGTTTACGTGTAGCATAAAAAGGAGCTTAAAAATAGCTTATCCAATCCGCAGACACCGTGTTCGATCGCAATAACGAATGCTCTATCCAGAAGAAAGTAAATTCGGCTTTAATTTCGCTTTCCGCGCGATGATATCATTTGATAAAATAAATTGTAGAATCGAGCGTGCGTTCGTAGCGAGCGGAGAACGATTTTACCGCTCAAGCCATTCCGCACGGACTTACGACTGCTTCTCGCTTACATTGCTCGCTCTGTTGCGGGAAATGGAGTTGGTTGGCTGAGATCGATAAAGTAAATGTTGTAGATCGGTAGAGGTGGGAGCGCGAGGGCCGGTGACGTTGTAAGTGACGGGGTAAGGGCCGGAAAGGTGGGATGGGCGTTAGGATAAATGCGCAGTTCGCCGACTGGCCGAGAGGTCATTCCGTAACGCTGGGCCTCGCGGTCCCAGGCGATGAGGGCGACTGACATGGCCTCTGCCCCCAGACAGCGATTAGCTACATGGCCGGGAATGGGAGCGCCCTCGTCCTAGAGACCTGCCTTACCTTCCACGGCGCGGACGCCAACCTCCCGGACAACGAGGGCAACACACCGCTGCACTTCGCCGCCCAGGCCGGTGAGTCCTCGCAATGTTCGCGGCTCCGGTCTCGATCAGTCAGCGCTTGTGCACGCACCGGACCGGAAGCTGCTCCCGGACGCCCCTCCGAGCCACCAAAACTGGTAGAAAGTATTCTCCTAGTTAGGGTATTATAGGCAGGGGGCTGGGGGCAGCTCGGCTTATTTATCCAGCGATCAGCAGGGGAGAAGATTCTAAAGTGGCCTCCCGCTGTCTAATGTTTTTAGGCCAGACGGAGTGCCTCAACATTCTGCTGCAGAGGTGCCCGACTATAGAGGTCGACGCGCGAAACTCCCTGGGATTTACACCGCTGATGAAGGCCGCGCTGCAGGGCAGGACCAAGTGCGCCAAAATTCTCCTCTTTGCCGGTAATTACAGCTCATCACCGCCCGTCCCAACATCTTGTGCTTTATGTAAATATATAAAAGCTCGGGGAGGAACTTGCCTACGCGCGTTTAGGATGAGGCCACCAAGGAAGCTACGCACCCCCTAGACCAAAGCCGATCATTAAAATCGATTAATTATTAGGGGCTGCAATTTTCAAAAGCGTCGATACGCCTCTAATTAGTAATATATAGTGTTTTTTTAACGTCTCGATGTTTAGTCACGTTGATATTGATATTGTTACTATTATTATTATTATCGTGCACTTTTATTGTGGAGATTTTTTTTGCATGCATGGATGGTAATTTGGAACGAACGCAGCCGGGATTTTGTAATATCGATTAATTTATTAGTGCCGATAAGAGTTCTAATATTTTGTGAATCGCAGAGCAGTACTGCACTTCGCCTGTAGATTATATGAAAATTAAATGGATTCGATCCATATCTTTGTGAATTTCGTCATCAGTCATTGGATGAAAAAAAAAAAAAATGTCGTTAAACGCTTGGGTGGTCTTTGGAGAACTTATTAAAACGTGAAAAAATGTGCCCCGAACGTTTGGTTAACTGAAAAGAAAAATTAAATGTTTCTACGTAACACCGATAATGGTATATTAATTGCAAAGGAAGAGTATTCGGGCTCGAAAGGATACGCAATAGATAAATTAGGCAAAACAAAAAAACAAAAAAAAAACAAAAAAAAATAATGAAAAGAAATGTTTTTAATACTAACTATGCGCTTTAATGTACATGAAAATACTTTCCATCGATATTTTATTTTCCAACTCTTACCCATAAAAATTGCAGGACTTCAGAAATAAATCTTCTCAAATAAGATTAGCAAATATTTAACGAAGTAAACTATTTTAACTAACCCGTAATAAAGCTATTCATATGAATGAAATTATATGTTTCATAAGTCGAAGGTAATTTTTTTTTTTTTTTTTTTTTTTTTTTACACGAAATAGGTTTGTTTTACAATAACTAATATATTACTTAATATTTGATAAAAAGTAAAATGAAATGTAAATAGCAATAACTTTAATGTCTACTCGGGTATTACACCTGCATTTAAGAAACGGAAACTTGACGTTTCATTTTCTTTACCAATTGTCCGAGTACATTCGAATACCGAAATAAATGAATCCTTTCCATCTGATTTCGTTCTGTTGATAAATTGATTTCGTTAATAGAATTAATAAGTCCTAGATTGTATTTGACTAAAAAAATCTTGGTAAAAGATGTTATTACAAATAACCAAATTATAGATATGGAAGACAAAAACTATTATCCCTAATTATTTTACAAAACATTTTTATTTCTCACTATTGCTTAAAAGAAGAAAAATTCCCCAAAGATGATATTCTACTTTCCAAGTTCAATTATAAAGTGCCGCGGGCTAAAAAAGCTTTGATGAATATTCTGAATTTTTTTTATGATTAATTATTTATTTAACGAATATAAAGGTAGAATTTTTGTTTTTAACATTCAGTTCATTTTCCAATAAATGTTTTCCAAGGATTTCTCAGTACTCAGTATTTCTTTTCTTTGTATAAAGTCTTATTATATATATATCGGCAACTATAGAAGTATTTATAAGATTTCGCAATACGCACCGATCGCCTTATGAATTTTATAAAAGATAAATTAATGTTCTCTATCTATTTATAAAAGAAACCTTAATGATCTTGAAACAGTTATTAATAATATTAGTCGGTTTAACTCTTTTCGTGTCATTTTTATTGTGAGCACGCTTTTGAACATACCGACTACTGCATCTACTGTGTGTAATGTCAGCTGTACCTTAAAATATATACGATTATTGGTACTTAATAATAATGTCAACAATTGCGCAACGTCCGAACGAGCAGATAACAGCAGTGTACTCGGATTTGACGTTCCGCTCCACTAATTATACATGTCCGAACCTCAGTTTATCCCCTACTTCAATCTGACTATAAATGGATAAGCATCGTATGTGCTTACCAGAAGCCTCTATTTGCCAGGTGCGAATCCTACGTTACGTGATCATGGCCGAGGACTGCGGGCCGAGCAATGGGCAAGATATTGCGGCAGATACGTTTGCGCCGAGGTAATCGAGCGTTTCGCCCGGCACAGGCTCCTCGAGAAGTCGACGTCCTGCCGATGGGGAAGCGAACCTGAATTGGCAGCTCAAGTACTTCAGGGCAAGGTACGGTACTTCCAACAGCACGCCATTATCCACCTTTTCATTGATCTCATGTCATCATCTTGCATTTGAAATGGAAACGATATTATGGATGGATGATACTCGCTCAACGCCATGATATTAATGGCCTATTAATCGCGGGCCTAAAGTAATCTCTATAGTTCGATAGACAACGTTAACTAAGAAAAACTGTCATAAAACTGTCATAAAAAATGTAAATAAACGACGATCAACTCGCTTGTCTGCGACAATCAAGGGAAGGAAATTTTTTTTAATAGTTGTTCGATAGTTTTGTAAGCTCGAGGTTGTTGAATGGGCAGGGCCGAGGTAAATATTTGACAAATTGCTCCCAGTTAATGCCGATTACATCGATGCCAATGCAGCCGCCTTCGAGGGGCTTAAGGTCCAAGATTCGTCGTGTTTTTCGAACATCCTCGAACTCGGACAAGAGTTTTTCCCTGGTCTCGCAACTGACAAGCGCAGCGCTTTGCGCGAGCAGCCCAGTATTGCCGAAACCAAGTGACGTCTCGCCGGCAGTTAAAAGCCTTCTCCGACCACTCAGTGTTCCCCAATTAAGGTATAATTCGAATTTTTTTCACGTAACTCGATGAGCCACCAGTTCCGTTTATTATTATTTACACCTGACCTGCTTACTTGTCATTTGAGCGCTGTAAAATCATTGCTTAACAATAGCAACGCTTGAACATACCCACTTAATTACTAATATTGTTGCGTATCGACTGAATGTTGTAATGTATCGATTGTTTATGGAATTAACGCTTCATTCGTCAATTATATCGCATTTAAATAAATTGTTACATTCAATAATGTTCAATGGCCAATATCTCTTGGTCAAAGCCACTTTTTTATTTGTTGTATTTCATTTTCCCAAAAATCTTCATGTAATAAAATAGTGTTGTTTCTGGCTACTAATTTAATAAATGCATTTTGTCTCGCTTTCCTACAATTTTGTTTTATTTTTTGGTGTTTATTTATTTTAAGGATTACACTCGTAGCACCCCAGGACATGGTCGAAAAAACAAACGAGAAGTGCTGCAGTCACAGTGCAACTTTCCTAGAAAAAATCGAAAGCTCGATAATCAAGCCACCAAGAACGAAAAAGAAGAGCAAATAGAAAATAGAAAATGAAATTTTTCGAGCGACGATTTTTTCGATTAAGTTAGGTCTTTTTTGTCTTTTTTTAATATTTAGACATTGTTATTGATGCATTTCAGTGCGATACGCCGTGTCTTATTAATTGTATGTACAATATCGCGAGTTATAAAGTAATTTTTCCTTATTAATCATGTCTTTTTTTTCCATTTTTTTTTTATTTTTTTTTTACTGGACAAAAAATTACACGAGGTGATTTATTATGCGCTTGTTATTGCGTTTCCAAAACCAAAAAAAAAGAAAATATATATATATATATATATATATATATATATTTAGTTATCAATGTTAAAACATTCGAATGAGCCTATTGCTAAGGCTTAACTACAATTACTATACAAAAGTGTATATTATACAAGTTTGGTCGTAGTATTTTTGTGCGAAAACCATAAAGTAATTGTCTTAAAAACAATAATATACATACAAAATATTTCTATATATTGCATTCATTATTACGTATAAATTAAGAGAGAAACGAGTAATTCACTCCAATTACAAATAATACAGCCATCGATAGAAATGCCAAGAAAACATTAATTACCGAAAGAGCTTAGAATCAATGAATGAATTGACTTTCTGCTAAAACAGTCTTTCATTATCAAAAAAAAATCAATTTCATACTTTTAACTGATTAACCGTGAGCTTTGCTCGCGATGATTTATATAAGTATTCAAGACTAGATTGAAAATCTCAATCACAATGATGAAATAATGGATCGACTTATTTCGATTAATCATAAAAGTATTTCGACTAAACAATTAACAACTCGAGAATAACTTATGCGTGCATTTGTGTATACACCAGCGCACACATACACACACGCGCGTGGGCGCGCGCGGCCACCCATACGTATACGTACGCGCACCTTTCGTTCCTACAATTTTATCATTAAACTATAAGCCCATATCTTATGCCGAGTCCGTTATCGATCAATGGACGTGATCCAGTACATTCACAATTCTATGTCGGATTTTTTATTTTTCTTTTGACGCCGATTCTTTGCGCTCGATAAAATCTCATAGGCCTGCTGAATGTCTAAGAAGCGTTCTTGAGCTCTGCGACGTTCGTCTAGTGAACCTTTGACTTTGTCTGGATGATGTTCCCTCGACAACGCTCTCCACTTTGAGGTCACTTCACTTTGCGAAGCCGTTTGGGATAAGCCTAAAACCTACGTGAAAAATCATCGACCATTACTACTTTTCTTTGCGGAATTTTCATTTAACGCTTGTGATACTTACTCTATAAGCATTTAGCTCTCCTCGAGGATCCGTGAGATCTATCAATTGTCTCCAAGTTGCCCAAAATCCTTGATGTTTCGCCTGTATCCAGGTTTGTTCGAGGCTAGCCTATAACAATTAATATTTTTATGTGCATTACTATTTCCAAACAAGAAAGCATCGTTTATTTAAACGTTTCATTTATAATTCATGAAATTTGTGTCTTAAGTGATTCGAAATTATATTCGATAGATTAATTAAATTGAAGTGAGAGAGGGGGGGGGATATTTATTCAATGTACGTTTACAAATACCAATTATATACTTTTGAACGAATATAAATGTATTAAATTGTAATACTAACCTTAAGATCGAGGTATATCGGTGAAGTTAAAAAGTGTTTGATAGCTTCGGATAATTTGATTTCTTCGCCCTCGCTATCCGTAAGGGTGGCATTAAAATAGAAATAACTGGACCACAGTCCTCCATAAATAATGGCGGCTATGCAAAAAATTGACACTCTAAATCGAGTGCTACGCTTTTGCTTTTTCTTAAATCTCCATGTCTTTGAAAATGTGTCGAAAGCGAGGGTCGTGGCAATAACCATAAGACCTATCCAAGTACTCTCATCTCCGATGTAAGTGAGAGTTGGATATACAAGGTAGGAGACTAATAGGGACAACCATATCGAGCCTTTTTCTCGACCCACATTCCCAACTAGCCAAGTACCTATATTGATAATATTACAATTTTATCAATAAGCCACTGTCGTTGTTGCGAGGCTGATAAATTTTCAATAAATTCATTAACCACACCGATTCTTATAACATTGTTAAAGAATAATATTTTTGTTCGTATATATATATATATATATATATATATATATATATACAAATTCAACTTTCACTCTGTGGTTTCAATATAAATAATACAGAAAAAACAATGTTATTATAAGTATTAGTTAAAGATTTTTAAACGTATTATATATATATATATATATATATATATATATATATATATATATATATAACAGTTAGCTTACGAAAAAATGAATATGATAGACTTTTAAAACATTAAAAATACATAAATATCCAAAACACATTGATTAGAAACGAAACTTTTCGCACACATATAACAAAAAAAAAAAAAAAAAAAAAAAAAAATTTATTGTACTTTTGTATAATTTTTTATCAAGTTTTAAAAAATGAAATAGAATATAAATCTATTGTGTTTATAATTAACTAAGAGACCACGAGATGTTATGTAGGTGAAACGTGCGGACAAGTTGAAGAGAAGGCGCATTAAATTCAATATTTAACACATCTGTTTGTTATGCTGTTTATTCCGTTAATTTCCAAATATAGGAATGATTTTTGTTGCTGATATGAATCAATGGACTATTGGGTTCTGGGCACTTGACACTTGGCGTTAGCATACAGTTTGACCGGAGGTAGGAGGTTGTAAAGCTCCCGATCCTCTTGACGTAGTGCCCTGGTACTCGGTTCCCTGGTTCGGGAAGTGAGAGTTTGTAAAGCTCTTACCGATTTCTTCGAGTAGAGCCAGGTGGTGTGATGGGATTCGTGATTGTAGATTGGCCTCGTGAGCTTAGGACCCGAGCTAGGAGAAAGGTAAGATCGGCAATATGGGCGCTGAATAGCGCGAAGATTGACTTGCCGACGTGTGCTTCGTGCGTCTGGGGCACCAGCGAGATTCTCCTTGGGTACAGGCAGTAGAATTCGTTAAGATAATGTTGCATGTACCTTAGAAGCGACCTTGATCCTTTAAGTATGCTCGGTGACCGGGCTCCTTGAGTGACGTTGGGTGGGAGATAGTGGCTATGACGCCCTTGAGTAGATGAGACAACAAACGAAGCCTTGTCTTCGAACTCAGCTGAGGGAACTTCCATTCCTTTCTTTCTTTTTCCTTGAGGAATTCAACGTGATTGCTTGAATCTTATGGTTGCCTCTCTTGAATACAGTTCACTGACCATGGTGTCCATTTGGGACCCCTTTCCTTTTTTGTGCTCAATCAGAGGGCCTGCGGCTTATAGAGCGAAAGTTGCGCCTCTCACGGCATTGCCTTCAATCACGAAGCTCAGTCTTCTCTTGGCCTTCGCGCCAAGAACAGCTCCCGATATATGGTTGTTCTCGACGAGCCTCTGGCAGCCTCATGGTAGATTTTACGGGGAGGGGGGAGGGGGGGCGGGGAGAGCAAGTATATACCGTTAAAATTTAGATTTTTGGTACAGAGGCGCTTCGAAAATTTTTTTGTTGACGGGTTGGGTTTTCAGAAGTCTAACGATTATTTAATGAGATATTGTTTTGCATTGGAAAAGGATCTCGCAATCTCGTACATATTGACATATCTATCTCATACTGCTTTGATTGAATCTATGATTATTACGCTATTTATTAATAATCGTAATATAATTTTATATACTTATTATACCGCATGTAATTACTTTTCTCTTCTTTCCTTTTTCATAAATATATGACAAGTATGATAATTAAATATATCGGTCCTCGACCTCTGAAGTCCGCGCTTATATATAGTTTATTTGTATGAAAAGCAAGAAATACAAAATAAACTTTTCGCTAATATTTTATGTAATTTCAAATCAATTTATTTTAAGGCGAGCTCACCGCTTCTGTTTGAACACGGTATTTGCGTGTAATACTTATCTACCTTATTAATTATGCTTTATCATTATAAATTATTTATCACAACTATTAAACAAGTGGCTTATTAAAACGCACATAATTTTGAAATATATGTTTTATACTTAAAATACAATGGAGTGAATCGATTGTCAGCCTTACCAAACGTAACTGCTAATGGTACGAAAATAATAAATGATTTGAAATTAATTCCATTAATTTCATCCTCTGGAATAGCAATGTATACAAGGTTTCCAAACAAGTACGAGACCACAACAGCCCCCAGGAATCGAACTATACCAAAAGGCGGCTAAATAAAAAGTTACATTTTCAATGAACGATGGAAGAAATGCTCGATATTAGTAGAATAATAAAATGGCCTTAAAACATGTTAATCGGCGGAATAATTAAAAATTAATTACCTTCGTTTCGCATCGTATTTGGTTCTTGAACCTGTTGACGTAATTAGGATCGTTATTAGCCTCGGCAACATACGATGGTATCCTATAGAGATCTCTGAGCCACCCAATTCCAAAATATCCGCCCAATGTACAAAACCAAATGAGCGCCTGGTCATCGCGCTCAAGGTAAAGGTGATGGGTTCCGAGAATGCCACCGAAAAACCACCAAAAGTACGCCTGGATTTTGGATTTTGGCGAATCGAGCGGCAATTTGTTATTGTTGATTTTATTTTGCGAGTTCTTCATGCTTTCAATTATTTTACTACTACTCCCGTCTGGCCTCTAATAATCTCTTTTCGATAAGGCACACCTCCCATATAAGTCAATGCTAAATTCGGGACAGCGCCCTCCTCCTGCTCTTGGCCGACAACCTTCCTTTCAATATCGAATCTTAACACTGCTCATAGCTATACGCGGATTCAGCAGAAGGACCGACTATTCTAACACGATGGAGGGGTCGGGAGGGGATGATAAGCGGGCGGAGGGGAGTGGAGGGATGAAGAGCGGGAACGACCGGCAACGGGCAAAGGTCGAGTTAATTGTCGTACTGAGGCCGAAAATCGGACAATAATCTATGTAAATTCGATAAAATATTTAGCGTTACGTAAATTCACCGCTAGGGCAAGTCAACTCTCAAGCACAGGCCCATTCGAAGACTGGTTCAATGCTCCTAAAGTAAGAAAAACTAACGGTATTAATCGAGCGAGGGAGAGGGAAAGATGCGAAGTCTCGGAACGATGTGCCATGTAACACGGTTTAGTAAATGCGACGTAGAGGGGAAGAATCAGCCACTTGTAGTTTATTACCTACGTACGCGTTGTTACGAAAGAGCGCTTCTTTGTTCGCTATACGTAAGGTCGTTTCTATATTTCGGGTTTTGTCAGCGGTAGCACGATGTGTTGCTTCTGCTTTCGGCCCACGGGCCTAGATGGCGCCGTATGCCACAGGTTCCAAGGACTACGATTTTGGAGTAGGAAATCGTAATAAGACCTTCGCGTTCGAAATAGAGAACTCGAGGCAAGATGTCTCGAATCGAGAAACATTGATAATGCTGGAGGGAAAGGGCCATCGGAACTGACGTCAGACTAGCGCACGCGGATTTACCGAGGGCAACGTAAAATAAAAGAAGAGAACGCGAGTGTCGTGGAAGGATTATCGACTGATTAAGGTGAATGCGCTCGCTTGCCAACGATAATTCTTGTCTTTTCCAATAAAGTATAGTAATTAAGCTGGATCAACCTCGAGAGTATACTTGTCTCAATAATCGTCAGCATTAACGCGTAGGTAGATCTTGTCGATACGATTTTGATTTTAATAAAGCCCAATGACGATTAGCCGTACGAGACGACATGCTCGCCAAAATATTATTAGATTGAATTAATTATTGAATTCAGTGTTACAGTCGGCAGTGTGACAGCGATATCTCGTCTCGTATAATACGTTTACATAATCGTGTTACATTAACGTGCATTAAAAATTTAAGCAAATTAGTTAGTCATGGGGGCGCCATTCGAGGCCGATTCTTCATTTCGTATTGTCCCTCTGTGTGTGCGCGCGTGCGCGCGCGCGCGTGTGTGTGTGCGTATTGACTCGGCGACAATAATGAAGGAGAGCAAACTTGAATATCGTCGATATGGGAAATAAACGTGAAAGTGTCGAAGAATTGAAGAATTTGAGATAGAATTTTACATTAATAGACCAACGTAGTTTTTATAATTTACACTCGGTGGTTGGACATCGTAAGTGCGCGGATAATCGCATTGGTATACATAAGTTTGTTAATACATTTATTCGTCTCTATTAATGCCAGCCTTTTTTTCTTTTTTTTACACCCGACGATCTATAAATTTCTCGACATAAATTATATAAACGTTTTCTCCGCGTCAAATTTACTTGCCTAAAGAGGTATCGAAGGAAGCGATTAATTACACATAATTCGCTTAATTCTCTCGCAAGCATGATTATAATAATAATAATAATAATAATAATAATAATAAGACAAAGTACTTAGGGAAATGGACCAAACGACACGAAGTACTTCGGTATTAAATCTACTCCAAGCCTTATTGACAAAAAAAAAAAAAAAATTGAAGACACTACAAAAGGTTCGATGTGACGTTTAAACGCTAACGTATATTTCTCTTTATTCCTAAATAATGTATGCAATAAACCAATTGACATCGGTCGTTCATATTTATTATTATCGAATTTATATCAAAATTATACGATGAATTTAAAATAAATGCACGATTATTGAAAGTATTTAAGTGAAAGGCATTTCCTTAAATTCCAATAAATTCAATGAAATTCAAACAAACATTGGTAATTTATTAGTATCGTTAATAAGCAGAATAAGTTTGATAAGATTGCGAGTAAAAATATATTTTGTATCCCATAGAATTATCAAACGAACGATATCATGAATAAAGTATAATGTATTACCTTATAATTTATATTGATGAATATTTACCGTTTATTATTTAAAGAGCCCATGTAAGTCGATGTATTAACATTAATTTAATCTACATATGTTAAATATTGTAGAAAATAAAACTATTGACGTATTAAAAAAGTTAGTCTAATAAATTACTGGTAGTCACCGCGTTTGAGAAAAATCTTATTTTATTGAAGTTTAGAAAATTATTGTTATTTTTCCACTCGTTTGTTCCATTACGGACTCTACCTTCCTTGCAGAATTTAAAATATTTTCAAACAAACGTAATATAATCTTAACTCCGTTGTTTTTATTATGATTCTGATATTATGAAAAATGTACTAATGGCAAATAATTTATATTGATACTATTACTTTTATAATATATTTTTAAATAACTACTTTATGACAACAGTTCCAACGATTTCTCATAATTAATTACGTTATAAAACTATTGCAATAAATATTTTTATAAAAACCTTTTTATCGCAGTACTGTATATTTTTTTTTATCAAAAAATGGAAACGTAGCATCTATATAAAGACAAATTTCGGAAATATAACTGAAAAAATTTTCTAATATTTTTTAAACATTATTACTATTTGATAATGAATTAAGAAGATATAAATAAATATATATATATATATATATATATATATATATATATATATATATATATAAAAAATTATCGATGGATATAATATTGCAATGAATTACAATATAAACTGTTGCAAAAATATTCAAATCCAAAAGATTAACAATATTAACAATATCTATTATTACATTTGCACGTTTTGATAGAAGGTATCGATATTTACTACTGTGTACTATCAATTTGAAAAATACCAAGAATTGTCAAATATCAAGGATTATCATTTTGATTTAGTACTTGAGTTTATTAATTATACTCTAATCACTGCCAAATAAGAAAATCGGCAAAATATTCATATTATTTTTACATTATAATTTATTGTTATTATTTAATTAATTCATTTTTATTCATTAGGATATTTTACAAGGCAAATCATTTTAAGTAAAAGGAAATTTAAGGTCTATATTATGTGCTATTAATATAATCTTTATGAAAAACGGCTTAAAGTCAACAATTTTGATTAATACTCTAGAAACAATAATCCGGATGTCATTATAATCACATTCAATCGGCTTTATCTGAGCAAGCAAATAAAATATGAAGAAAAATTTCTTTCAAATTATGATAATCCACTTCTACTTTTATATAAATTAATAACCATAATTAATTTTTTTTTTTTTTTTTCATTATTGTGTAATGAACTGTGATATATTTAATGATTCAGTTACGATGTTAAATTTAGGATTATTGAATTTATGATACAAACCTACTTTGTACAATCATATTTTCCAACATTATTTAAAAATACCAGCATTGTTGTTGTGTTTTTCGAATAATTTTAATTATTCTTAAAGCAATTAGTTATTGATTTTTAACAATAATTCGTTAGTCCGCTATTGTGCACGTGATTGTCATTGTTTTGTAGCCTCGTCGAAATTAACATTGATTACGAAAAAATGTTATTTTTCTTCGGAACGTGTTGCTCTGACAAAGCAAAAATAAATTCCGAAGATAAAAATGAAGAGGGAAAAGAATTAGGAACCATAAGTATATTAAAATACTTTAGAGCGCTAAGGCAAATTAATGATTAATACCTATGTTTTTCTAACATTTTTTTTTTTAATTAACCTGCGCTGTATTTTAAAATTAGCATTGTCAAGTATCGTATCTTAATGTATTGATAATTTCGCGAAAACACGCGACAAAAATTATGTATTCATTGAATTTACGGCGTCAATATGTTTATTATGTATTGTAATATTTCACTGTATGATAATAGAAAAATTCGTCGTTCCAGTTAACTCGCATAAATTACGAAAAAATTGATTATTATAAATAGTAACAATTTTTCGTTGAATATTATTTGTATACCAGATAAATTCCATTCCAATATGATAATAATAATAATAAATCATACTCCTTATAGCATTTAGCATATTTTCCTGTAAAAATTATTCATTTAAAAAAATATCTTTTTGAATTAATTTTATTTTTATCATTTAATATGGACCTTAAATATATTCGATTATTATTGTAAATATGGCTCAATAAATTACTTTTTGGTTGTTATTGAATAATTGGTTTTAAGACCAATATGTATAATAATTTATTTTGTTACCCCATTACAATCATTGGTTGAATAAGATTGCCAAAAAAAAAAAAAAAAAAAAGATTGAAAATAAATGAAATTTTCAACAAACATATCATCCTATTTTTTTTTTATATGTAATACATATTTAAAATTTAGTATTACTTTCAGCTTTAGTTTGTCTCATTATTATCTTTATGTTGTTTATTTTTTTACATTTTTATTTTTATGTTGATAAATTAATAATATATTTCCCTTAAAAAAAGTCATTGAAAGTTTACAAATATCTATGAAGAAAATTATAAAAATTTCACAATTTTCAATGTTACAATATATATCTCTTGGCTAAATATTTAAAAACGTGTCTTAAACTTTCGAAAAATACTATGCTGTGAATTGTACACAACCAACATTATAATATCTTTGCACTTATGGCATTTGTAAATAATAAATTTTAATACATCTTTGTTGACACTGCTTTTGCTATCAATGATAGTTGAAATGGCAGTGTAAATGAGTTTTGTTGCTGCTTTTTCTTTTAATATAATAATACTAAAATTTATAAAAATACATTATAAGGTATAATATTTATTTGAATTTTAAGTATCATTATCATAATTTGCTTTTGTACATGTAAAATTAAAATTGTGCAAAAAGTGCTGAAATTGATTAAGAATATTGGCGTGAAATGAATATAAACATAAAGTAACTCTGAATGTTGAATATATTGTCGAAATGCCAAAAATGTTTGACTTTAATGAATTAAATTGTTTTTTTTTTGTTTTGTTTTTATAAATTTTCTCTAAAATTCCCCGATTTAAGGCAAAAAATTTCATCAACATAGTCTGCGCATTTTAAATATGATAGTTCCATCAACCTGCACATGACAATGGCAATACACAGATTGTTCATCATTGTAATTATAAGTGTACATATTTTGGTAAATTGATAGATAAAGGCGAAGGAGGCGAAAATGGTAACGATTTCAATTGTACGAGTACAGAATGCGTATGTCGACTGTTACTGGGTACTATCGATTTATATAAATTACATTTTGAAACGTGGAACACTAAAGTACCGACCAAGATACATTTCCGTTTTTAAGTCTAAGGTCTTGGCGTCCTTCTATAGATGTCGCGACAAGCATTTTCCGATCGCATTATTTTCTAAAAATTATCTGTACACACGTATCATTATTACAATTTTTTAGTGCAGATTTGGCAATTAAAAAATCTTATTATTTTTTAAAGAAATACGTGGGTAATATATTCATGTAGAAATTTGCGGGACGGATAAATGTTGCACAAAAGTCCGTGTGCATGAGATCCCCGAATTTCTAAGATGGCGTACATCGTCTGCTGTGGCGCATCGGCTTGAGAGAATTCTTTTACGCTTTCGCTTGTTAACGACGCAAAAGTCTCGTCCCCGACATTTTATTGATAATTTAATTCATTTTTATTAAAGTTACCGAGGCAGCATCAATAAAACATTCAAAATGTCCGGTAATGGAAAGGGAGTCGTCGAAGCGCCTGAGTCATAAGGAATGGAGGCGCCAAGTGAAAAAAAAGCGACGCAAGCGCCTACGACGAAAAGCCGCCCGGGAACGCGACGAGGAGGCTGATCGGTTGAGGAGAATACTCGAGCAGAGTGACGATTATTTGCAATGGTTAGAAGAGAAACGCAAATTAAAGCAGGAAGAAGAGAAACGCATTGAAAAAGGACGCGCAGAATTGGAAAAAGCTTGGCTAGAAGCCGAGGTAAGACCACGTTATTATTTTCTTAAACATGAGGTTGTTCCATTTTAGTGTACCATTATTATCAATTTCTTGTAGGTAAAAGCACAGAAGGAGTGGAAAATATTGCAGGCACGAAAGGCTAAGGCTCGAGAAATACAGTTAGCTCAAGAGGAGAAAATTAGAGAAGAATTTGAAGCCATGCAGGAAAACAGTCGAAAGAAGAAGGAGGCTGAGAGACGTAGGAGAGATGAGCAGAAAAAGATGTTTGATAGAATTAAAAAAGAAATTGATGCATACATTGATGATGGAGCTAGAACTCCTAAAGCACTTAGATCCATAAACGAGACTCAACCAGGGAAGGAAATATGCCCATTTTTTACTAAAACTGGCGCATGCAGATACGGTGATATTTGTTCAAGAAATCACCAAAGACCGAGTCTTAGTACGGTAATTCTTGTACCAAATTTTTACACTCATTTCTCATTGGAGCGACACTCGCACGAGTATGATACGGACATAAGACTAGAGTACGATCATAGAGAGACTCGTAATCACTTTCGTGATTTTTATTATGACGTGGTACCAGAACTAGAAAAGTTTGGAAAAATAAAAACTTTACAATATTGCAAAAATACCGAATCTCATCTTAGAGGAAATCTCTATGTTGAGTATCAGTCGGAAAGAGAAGCTGCAAGAGCATTGAGAGGCCTTAAAGGCCGTTGGTACGCCGGAAGACAATTACATTGTGAATTTGTCAATTTGAAATCATGGAGAGGAGCCATTTGTGGCATGATGCGTTGCCCAAAAGGCAGTGCCTGCAACTTCTTACATACTTTTAGAAATCCTACCGAAGATTATGGTGTTAAAAGTCCACCATTATGGCAGAAGAGACAAGAACAATTTGAAAGAAACAATAGTAATTCCTCTAGAAGAGGAAACTACAGTAACAGGTATTATTACATTATTTCTATTATTCAATTTAGCAGCTTATACATGTGTACCATTGGTTATTTTCATCAATTGAATTATCTATTTCAAGTTTATTAGTCGATAGGCCTATAAAAAATTATGTCATAAATATTGTAATCAATTTTTTCATTTTAATGGGATATCATAAATATGAGATTAATGTTAATATGCATATATATATATATATATATATATATATATATATATATATGCGCCTGTGCATGCGTGCGTGCGTGTAGCCGTATGCGCATCTGTATCGGCATGCGTGCTATGTATTGTATTACCATGCACGTGAACATGGCGCGCGCGAGCGCGCGAATGCTTCCGCCAGATGTGTACGTATGTCTATCTTATTAGGTTTCGTTTCACTCTTATATGTTTTGACTTTGAGTTTATTTCCTTTAACATTATGAATCTTTAACTACGCTAATATATTATTTAACTTTATATCGCTCGTATATAAAAGAAATATCATAGGAAATTGTTAATCAAGATGATTATTTAATTTATTTTAATTTATTTATTCAAAATTATAACAAAATTATAATGTGCGAAATATACAAATTTTTTTTACCTATGCTAGGATTCGAATAATTCATCTTAATAAATATATTGCACACTTATTATCATATTAATTATATCATTAACGAAGTATCAAATTATATATATATATATATATATATATATATTTATAGACTTTATATCTATGTAAAGCATATATTTGAATAGAAAATTCAACTAGTATGTATGACAAAGCATATTCATCATATTATTTAGTAACGTAATATTTTCATATCCAATTGAAAGATGTATTTTGTAAACTTAAGTTTGTCAAAAGATTATTTATACGGAGTATAGGCAAACACAATTATAAAAGTAATTTATTTATATTAGAAAAAAGTAAATCTTTATTAACTTTTTATTTATTATTTATTTTATCGATTTATTTTTAATTTACTTATCACTTGTAAGCTGGCTTAATTAATTTTTTGTATTCAATGCAACACTAACATTTCTTTCATGCTGCATTCAAATTTTAAATCTTATTTCATAATCCAAAAATGTAATTACATCCATGCCATAAATAAGAATTCATTCAAGAATAAATCTATTAATTATATAGATTTATGTTCTACTATTCAATGTGAAAAATCATTGTCTGTCGATCAAAAGCACATAGACGATACTTTTATTGGGAAAATTTTCATTTCACACTTTATACAAATAATTATAAAGTTCGCAAAATTTAATTTCTCCAAACGTTAGAAAACTGATATCCTTAAGATATTATTAGTGATAAAGTGATGTAAGTAATATCGATGATTGAGATATGTAAGACACGCCTTTTACTATATAGATTTCCTCGGTCCACGTTATAATTTCGGCAAGACGATAATTATTTTGCATTTTCCATTTTGCAGTCTATTTGGATATTTATTTGTGTCTATAATGTATTACATAATAATATTATCGAAAAGAGACTTATTTCGATATATTATTTTACAAAATTACGCCAATGCTTAACGAATGAAAATTTAATTTATTATGACCATATGTTATGCTTTTTGCTTTCCTCGTAAAATCAACAAAATCGAATAATTTTACGTGGATAATCCATTTATTATTGAACTTTAAAGTAAATCATATTTTTGATTTTGTTTGAATATCTTTAGTCATTATTGTATATGGTAGATCGAAAGCGTGATTACAGTAGCAATTGTAGGTTATATGGATGATCAGATTACAATGTAAGTTGTGTGGTGAATTACAATTTAATGGATGAAAATTTTCAATTTAAATGATTTGTAAATATATTAATTGAATATTTTATAAAAATCATGTTTATAAATCATGATTATAAACAAATGTTATTTGTCTTTGTTAAGACCATTTGCTATTCTACTCTTATTAAAATTATAATTTTATAGTGAAATAAATATATATATATATATATATTATATGTATATACATATATTGTAATTATTACAATACTATAATTATTGTATCACACATGGGGCGGGGGGGGGGGCCCCCCCCCCCCATCCCTCCTCATACCCGCGACCCTATACTAACCTACAACAGAAAGCAGTTAAACATCGCTTATTTTATTAATAAAAAATTCAATTTACGGTATTTAAACAATTTTTAATAATGTTAATAATAAGTCTAATGTATAATTTAGAAACTCCACGTGTGAGCAGATAAACTATCAGATATTTGAACATTGATCAAAGAGGCTGTTTATAATAATAATCATTTATTAATTTATTTAAAATAAATTAATATGCTTTTATAGAGTTTATTGTTAAGCTCATATATATGTAATTAAAATGTAATGAGATAAAAAGATAGAAGAGAAAAAAAAGTTAAAATTTCAATAAACAATTTAAATTTTTATGAATTGTTTGATTTGTAGGAATAAAGCATTGAATTCATAATAAATCGAAAGATTTAATTAATTGAAGTATTTGGGGATTTGCCGTACAAATATTTATATAAAGTTTATTAAACTTAATTTAAAAAATGTAGTTCTATTTAAAATATAAATGCATTTTTCATATTTTTTAAATTATAATTATAAATGATACGCATTAAATTAGTTTACATTGCTATCAATGCTCTTATTACAATATAATTTCAGTATAAATAACAATGTCTAATAACGTAATTGATGCAAACATTTGATAAGCTATTTTAATTGTCTTCTATTTGTATTCATTTGTTTCAATAGTCTCATGTTTTAATGCATATGAAATACAGATTTTTTTTCTTTGTATTATTTAAATGCCATTTAATTGCCATACATCATAACTTTATGCAATCGCGTCTTTTATATTCAGGAATAGATCAAATTGGGAGGATTATGATAATGGCCACGAGCGAAATCGAAATTGGAGATGGTCTGAATCTCCAGAGCAAGAGGATAGAAGACAAGGAGGAAGGCAAAATCAATACAGGCAGATGCAAAGGAACTACTATCCACGTAATCAATATAATAATCGTAATAATTACGATAACAGAAGAAATGATAGAAACTTTTACAACAATAGAAGACAAAGAAATTTCAATGATTCTAGAAATAGATATTCTGATGAAGATAAGGAAGAAAACCGATACAATAAACCGCAAAGAAGGTAAAAAATTATTATTGTTTTTTCTATTTCTTGTGAATAATACATTTTTAGTTAAGATTCGTTTATTATTTAATATTAATAGTTTTTTTTTTTAGTTTTTCTTTTTTTTTTTATATATATAATAATACAAACGTAAAATTTGACTAAAGATCAATATGCAGCATTTTTTAAATAAATATTATGTAATGTCATGATCTTGTACAATAGAAAAATAATATTGAAAATAAGACTTATCGAATCATTGGTAACAGTAGAGTGATAAATATATGGAAAAAATTACATCTATTATGAATGTACAATCTGTTTTAGATTTGTAATAATATTTTATTAATTTACAATATTTATAATGTAAATATATTATTAATTATTTTATGTTTATTCAGAATACCCTTGCGAACAAATGCACACAAGCGAACGCGCGTGCGAGAGAGATGTAATCGGTATTATTAATAGCATAGTTATAATTTGAATATATACAGTTTTATAAATTGTGAATATCCGATTTTATTCTAAATTTCAATCGTTCGTCGATAAATTTAATTTAAATAAACATATAATGTTGTTGTTTCTTCCACTATTTTTAACCGATAGCAGTAACTTTTGATTCGTTTTTTTCTTCTTCTTTATCTTTTTCTTTTTCTTTATAAATGTCATATTTCTGAATAATAATGATTAAAATGTTGAATAGATAGTATTGTATCAACTAATATTTACTTATGCATTTGATCGTTTTCAGACCGTTTAACTATAACGATAGATTCAAAAGAAGATATTCAGATTCAGATGGAAACGAGGATTATAGCTCCAATAAAATTAGACGAAAGGAAAGACATTCGCTGGATAGAAGAAGCAGATCTCGGTCCCGATCTCGATCTCGATCACGTTCCTTAACTCGATCGCCCTCGCGTTCCCGATCCCGCTCTCGCTCCCGCTCCCATACTCATTCACGATCCCAGTCACCGTCTCGATCCAAATCCCGATCCCGCTCCCCGACAAGATCTTTATCCAGATCTAGAACTCGTTCACGAAGTCCACTGCACCATGAATCCATGATCGAAGTTGATGTATACTCAAGAAAAACGAGATCAAGGGAACTACAATCGGTTGAAGGAGAAAGCAGATCCCCTTCCGATGAGAGAAAATGCAGACCCCCGTCTCCGATTCATACACCGAAAGAGAAAAATAATACTAAGGTTAGCCATAAAGGTCCGGATGCTGAAGTTGTATCTGTTGGTAGTTCTAATAGTATTGAAATGTTTGGTAAAAAGGGTATCAGAAAACCACCAGGTCATTCTATTTCGAAGTGGGATAATGAAAAGCGTGAAGATTCAAGTACAGAGAGTCGAGACTCTCATTCACAATCACAATCGCGATCACAATCACGTTCACCGTATAAGGTTATTGAAAATGATAATAATGTTGACATTCAGGAAATGGAACATATAGAACAGATAGAGCAGATAGAGCAGATAGAGCAAATAGAGCAGATAGAGCAGATAGAGCAGATAGAGCAGATTCAACAAATTCAGGAAAGAGAAATGCATCAATATTTAAAGCCTCCAACAGGAAGTAGTAAAATGTCTGATCAAAAAGAATATGAATGGGATACAACCGATTCGGAAAACGAATAATTCTAAACTTGTAATAATTGCCAGCAGTTTTGAACAAACTATACCATGTACAGTAATAAATATTTTTCATATTAAATTGTATGACTGTAAAGCTTCTGGTCGTTGAAGATGCCAGCTAAGAATATGATAATTCAAATTTAGTTATTTCACTTTATTTTCTTCTTATCTGTACTATGAAACAATGATTTCTGCCTTTACCTTATGTCACTATCTTATCATAAGACACTTGTAAGCTATGCGCGTTACTCGTCTATCATGATATTATCGAGCGCCTCGAGATAAGCATATCTATTCATTTAAAAAGAAGGCACGGATTTCATTTCCTGTTTGAAATACCGATAGATTCACATCACATTTTTTCAAACTGCGAAAGTGTAAACGTCCCTTTTCGGCAGTCATTTTTATAGTTTAGTTCTAAAAAAATATGAAGATGAAAACAAATTGGTTATGTATACACATAGTCTTGATGCTTTTCGCTTCAGTTTACGCAGTAGGTTTTTATGGATTGCACTTCAAAGGGCTCGAAGAGCCAGCCTGGATAGGAACCCGAATATTAGATCAGAAGTGGATGCAACAGCCTATAGATCATTTTAATCATCGCGATAATCGAACCTGGCTAATGGTATGTTTGTACAATAATATTGTTTAATGAAAAAATAAATGCTAATGGCGTTATGTGAAATTGTAAGACACTTTTATATTATTTTTACGAATACATTTAGCGATATTATGAAGAGGACAAGTATTTCAACGGTTCTGGCCCAATATTCATTATGTTGGGAGGAGAGTGGACGATTAATCCGGGCTTTTTGCAATCTGGTTTAATGCATAGTCTCGCGAAGCAGCACGGAGCTTTAATGTTTTATACCGAACATCGTTATTACGGGAACAGTAAACCGACTCAGTAAAATTCATCATTTTTACTTCAGTATTTATCAGAATTCAGGCATTCATATAATAATCTAAATTAAATTGTAATGATGGCAGAGATATAAGTTCAGATAATATGCAGTATTTGAATGTTGATCAAGCATTAGCAGATGTCGCGTACTTTATAGATAATAGAAAAATTCAAATGAACATTAGCAATTCGAAAGTTATTGTTTTTGGTGGATCTTATGCTGGAAACATGGCAGCTTGGATCAGAACTAAATACCCGCATCTCATTCAGGTAATTGACTTATTGTTATATTTTATATTCACAGGAGGATTCGTAAACACATAGAAATTCGTAAGAAAGAAATTATTCAGCTAAAAACAATCATTTTTGAGTGGGTTTGTTTTTACGTGCTAATCATATAATTCAAAAATCTCACTGCTAGTAATTACTATCTGAACGATTTTATATAGATTTATAATCTTTTTTATCATTGTCACTGTTTTTTTTTTTCTTTTTTTTTTCTCCCGACTATGAGGAATTTCTTTATTATTAATATTCTTTGACTACAAAAGGTGTGTTAGTGTTTATTTTAATCGTCTAAACATGATTAGGTTTTTAAATGATTAATATAGAGTTGTATGGCTTATCATCGATATGGAAAAGGGGTAAGCAGGAATTTGTGTAAGTCCATATGATCGAATTTTTATCCGTTTCAATTGAAATATCGATTATGAAACGCAGTTACGTAAAATAATATAAAATTTCCATACAATTAAGATTAAAATTAATATGCTGATTATAAATTTTCATTTGACTTCGATTTGAATGGTGAAAGACAATTTTATTAACTATGCGATATTATTGATTAATTATTTAAAATTTTTTTTAAACATAATAAGTTAATAGTTTGTAGACAAACAGTTAAAGTGACGTACTAACAATGATAAAGAAAAAATTAGCCTAAACAATAAAATATACATAAATTTTTTGAAGTTCATTAAAATTTATTGAATAAAATAGATTTATTAACAAGTTTAGCCGTGAACTTAATTATCTCTCTATATTTAAACAGTAAATATATAAATAATATATTTATCAAAGAAAGTATTCAAATGGTTTTAATAGTAATTAACTTTTCTTTAAAAATATCATGTTAATAAGATGCAACATTCTTGAAAAGCGTACCCATGTTTGGTTGACAAAAATAAAAATGCAGATTATTTCATAACCAAAAGACAAATGCAATTTAGAAATTTCACTATTCATATAATCACTACAATACCGATGTTGTTATGATCATGAATAAAAACACAAGTAACATTTAATATATATTATATATATATATATATATATATATATATAAATTTTAATTTAATTCTTCCTTACTACATAAATATATGGAAGAAAAATTTTCTTTTATGAATTTATTTAAATTACATCATCTCTGATGCCCTCTAATATACATTCCAGATTATATTTTAAATTGAAATACTTGATTATTTTAATGCTCTCAAAATTATACAAAGATATAGTTTTATTAATATGATTGTTATACATTTACATTAAAGAATATTTTCAATTTTTAATTCAGCAAGCAACATGAGTTGCTTTTCTCTTAAATTTAAATCAAAATTTATATAAAATAATTACAATTTAAATAATATCAATTTCATTGTATATAATATTGTAATAATATCTAGATTAATATTATATATATATATATATAAAAAAAAATTTAAAGATATTGAGAAAATATAAACGATAAAAATTGAATGTCGATGTGAATTAAATACTTTAAACATTCTTCTTTATGTAAAGATTAAGTGACATCATTTGTTTTCAGTTAAACAAAGTATTGAGTATACTTGATAATTTTACAATTACGATTGTATAGTTAAAAAATAATAGGCAGAGTACATGGTAATTCAAACAAAAATCAAATAGTTAGTAGTTTATGCGTGAAAATAGTTAATAAGCTTGAATTCATAATCAAAACTTTACATTTTCTAACTTTTTCAACAATGTTTTTATTATTATCTATATTGTAGACATGTATATACCGATAAAGGCACATAAGATTTTTAAATTATTTTTTTTAATTCTAGAATTTGTCGCTTCTGTAGTTAAGTATGCATAATGAATAGCGATACATCGACGATAAATATAATTCTTTTGATATATCAAAGTTCATTTACCTTCGCTAATTTCTATGTAATGATAAAGTTCCGGTATTTGTCAATGCGTTACAAACGTGTTTTGAATAAATATTTCCTATTGCTTCCTGTATTATCTTAGTGCTGTTTTTATTAGGTTTAGTTTAATTTACAAAGTCGTAAAAGAATGTTTAAAGAAATGTATGAAAGACAATATTTATAATTAATAAACGAACAAGATATCATTTTTCGTTTGTATTTGTCTATAAATATTGTAATTTAATTATAATACAAAATACAAAAAAAAAAAAAAAAAAAAAATCATATTAAAGAATTATAATTGTATATAATACTCAAATTTATAGTGTACCATAGAGTTAGATTTTTGCAGTTCTTATTTAGAGTAAATTTTAAATCGAAAATGTAGCATTTAAATAAACCGATAAAAACAGTATAAATAATACCATTTATCGGTATTTATAAACAATACTGTTAAACAATACTATTAATAATACTGCAAGTTTAAATTATGAAGAACCGGTGTTATGACATGTCGTATTTATTCCTTTTCTCGATTTGTCAAGCATTATTTCATATTTCTTTCTTTTTTTAATATTATAGAAGCAATTACATTCATTTTGATGATAGAATAAAATTATATTAATAAAGTATAATACACACACTTCTTAAATTAGTTGGATGAATATTATCTGTCATCTCTTATTATCCTAAAGCATAAAAACTTTTTTTATTACATTGTATTACGTTCTCGCAATAATTTATCGAATATTACTTCGATCGTCAATAATAATTAAATTTGTATTGTCTCAAATCCAGATAATTTTATCAATTATAATTCCATGATTATTAACATTACATTTGTATAATTAATATTTCATTAACGAGCATATTTTTAATTTTCATTTTATATATTCAGCTTTTTAAATCAAATTTAGAAAAATCAATCTTTTAAGAGGTAATTATATAATATAATTCAATTTTTTCTTTCTTATTATTTGTATATCAACGGCGTCCGAATAAACGTATCAGCTAATAGTTCCGTCATTTTGTGAAGTAACTAATGAAAACCTTTTCTTGTACTGTTTAAATGCGTATTAATTAGTCATATTAATCAACATTTAAATAACTTCGTCATTTTTTTTTTCATTAAAAACAAATTAATAATATCTGCTTAATTACTTTGAATCGAACGATTCCTTTAAGGTATATGCATTTATTTCAGAAAATAAAAATCGGTATATTAATAGGAATTTTAATATTCATGTAAACGAATAGTTTTTTAATGTAACCATATTGTAAACATAATAAAAATATGCTAAATTCATTTGGCAATTCGAAGGAGCAATTAGTTTTTGTCATCTACGTGATATCTTATCATCCTCAGCTTATTTTACTATTGGATATAAACGTCAAGAGATACAACGAAAATTAATTTCTTTTAATCCAATAAATAGTAATATAATAATTAATCAACAATAAAATAACACATTGATTCAACTATCGATGCTATTCTAGTATTTTTCAAATAATAATAAATATTAAAATTTTACGTTTAACGTAGTAATAAAGTATGTGTTAATATGAATAAACAATGATTTATATTCATAAGGGTGTCAATCACACATTTATATCTTATATTATTTAAATTCTATATCTCATAGTATATTTTTTACTTTCTGCACAAACGTTATGCTTATATTTCATATAAAATATTAATTTAATATATAACCGTATAATTAATAATAATAAATTTTAACGAGATATTTCATATTTTACATATAGTAATAGTAAAATTTAAAATACATCAATTAATTTTCATTTCTAAATCAGAAATTGAAAATTTGCTATATTTTTATATCTTTTTTTTTTATGGTGTATACGAAGTCCATAAAAATAACTCCACATGTATAAACAAATTTTTTAGTCCGTATGTAATAGTTGTTCAAATTAGCTTGAATATTTCGAAACTTTATTGATGAAACTGGAACGTTTAGACGCTTTTTTTATGTTCTATTTTAATGATTAAATGATAAAAGAAGGCAATTTTAATAATATATTCTGACTTTTGTAACGATAATAAAATTTATATTGATATAATATTTCATAATCATCAATTAATTATTTTGTCGTTATATAATAGGTGATCATATATTTGAAATTCAATTTATGTGCAATTGATTATGAAATGAAAGCTAAAGACATAAACATTTTTCATTTTCATTCACAATTTGTGGTATATTTACAGAATTATTTCTAACGTGTATTTTTAAGTACTGTAAATCAGTGAAAGAATAAATTAAGCGAAGGATGATAGCTTTCGATTAGTAACAATTTTACAGTTTTTAGAAATTTTTAATTTTTTGGTTTGAGATATCATTTGTATGGCAAGTAATATATTAAACAATATATTATTTTCAATGATGAACATATCGTGTATATCTATATATATATATATATAGTTATATACGCATTTGATTTTTCAATAATTAATCGTTATGTAATTACACAATTTATGTGGAATCATACATTTTGAAAAGTTTTATGTCGTAGTTATTCAAGTTATTAAAAATATCATAAGTAGATGATTTATGCGTATTTTTACTTTTTTCTTCTCTTTTTCTCATCTTCTTAAAATACTGACATTGTTTATGCTGCACTAATTAATACTGATGCACTAATAGAGTAAACGATAAGTAAGGATGTTTCTAAAGCAGTGATTGATACAAATTTTTTTCATAATGTATTGAGATCGTTTATTTTTAATGCTGCTTTTTTTAGCAAAATCAATTTTAGTATTTAGAAATAAATTTTACACTCACTTTAAGTAACAATAGATAAGATAAGTATGTGGCAAAAATTAGTATTTGTAGCGTCTGTCAAACTCTACTGATATCTAATGGATAATCTTGAAGTTATATTAATCAAGGTATGTACATCTATTGTTATTTTTATATAAAAACTATATTAATATAGCATAATACACTATCGATCAATTAATATTCATAGAATAAACATTTTTCTTACAATTATTAAATTTTAATATTTAGTAAAGTTTAGATTTAAAATATTACTAATTTTTATAAATTGTTTTGTAAATTTTGTAAAGCAATATTTGAAGATATGAATTATTAACTTGACATAGTTTCAATTATACAAAGTTTACTTTATAAAAATATTTTTAATATTGACATTATATATATATATATATATATATATATATATATATATATAAATAAATAAATTTATCTATTCATAAGTTACATTTTTCATAATATTCACTCACTTTTTAATATATGATTTTAATATTGAAGGATTACATCTTAGTATAAACAGTTTTTGCGATCAGTAAAGAATGATTAATATAAAAATAAAAATAAAAAAGTTAAATAGAATTTCTAAATAGTTTTTTATCTATTCGAAAATTGGATTCGAAACAAATTATTCGTTAATATCATCTAAATTATCGACATCGATTATTGGAAGAATTTTTTGAAAAAAAAAAAAAAAAAAATTTTTTCACAGCAACAGCCTAATTTAGTATTTACATACGAGAAGGTGAAGATTATTTCTGCTGGTGAGCTGCTCAGGAATTACGAAACGTATCATTTTTCTCTGCAAATGCTGTATATTTGTATTGTGTATGGATATTGGTAGGTAATTGGATTAATGAAACGTTGTTATTTATTCTGCTTGAATGGTTTATGATAAGAGAGTGAACGTGCGTAGCAGCGATTGGCTTCGCAGAATAAAAAATAATCAAACAAACGCAAATCGTTCTTTCTCAACCGATTTAGCTGCTTGTTTAATGCCGAGTCTAACAATGTATCTTAATAATTTTATTTTCTTCTTTAGTGAATTAATGAGTCTGAATAAAAAGTAAGTGAATTAAGTGAGACAATCAAATTCTATTATATTTATTTATTTTGTTCGACTTTTTTACTTTGTCGTATTTCTTAAGACTAATTTTGTAATTATTTATAATTATCTGCCTATTAATTCTTAACAAAACGATTTGTTTAACTATTTAAATGTGAACGTATGTTTTTATACGTCTTACTTGGAGCCCAAGTAAGTGCATTATTAGCTCTAATCAAGTTGATTATTATTATTATCAAAGGCTCATACAAATATGCAGTAAAATATTTATTAGTATGGTTTGTTAAAAACTAATGCCAAAAAAATTGAAACAATATAGATAATTGGTAAATGGTACTTCAGCTTATCGATAAGTATTATTAATATTATTTGTTCATAAGCGATGACGTTATAATTATACATTATCAAGGAATTTTTTTTTTTTTTTTTTTTTTTTTTAATTCTCTAGGAAAATTAGCGCAACTCGATGTAATTCGAACGAAAAAAAAAAAGAATATATCGCAATGTAGCGTTATCGAACTTATTGTCATAAGAATTCATTCATGATCACAAAAAGTGTATACAAGGCATAAAAATCTATCGAATTATGCGTAACAATACTTTTTCTTTCTATAAAAATTAGAATATCACAGAAACGTATGATTCATAGTTTTAATTTGAATAATAGGGAGCCGTGGCAAGTAGCGCACCAGTTTATGCTAAAGCAGACTTTTACGGTAACATTATATAATAATTTACGTGAATTTATACGCATTACAAGAAATGTAATATTACATTTTCTTCTTTTTTTTTCTCTCTTTTTTTTTTTATGATTTCAACGTATTACGAAGTGGTAACGGCTTCACTGAAGCGACATGATGCACAATGCGCAACGGACGTTCAAACTGCATTTGATCAGACTGAGAAATTATTGGCTTCTAAGGGGGGTCCGAAAAAAATAAGAGAACTCTTCAAGTATAAATTAACGACGATAATCAATTACCTTTCCAGCTTCTATTGCCAGGGCTTATAATGTTTAATGCAAATTATCGTTTTCTATTACAGTCTCTGCGAAAATCCGAATGTGAAATCCACAAATGATATCAGCTATTTAATGAATTTTTTATCGGAAGTATGTAATATAGTTCTTATATAACCCTTTGGGTTTTCTTTTTTAACAAACTAAAACAAAACAAAACAAAAAAAATTAAAAAAAAAAACTCAAACGCCTAAAATCAAAGAGTAAAGTGACTACTTTAAAGCTTTAAATATTTTACTAAACGTATAGATCTTTGCCAGCAATGTTCAGTACAACAAGATTGTGAATGGAAAAAGTAAAATTAGTATTTTATGCGACACAATGACAAATGCCAGTATTGGTAAGCCTATTGAGAGATTAGCGCATCTGGTCAACAAAGAAGGGGATTGTATCGATGTCAGTTATTTGGAATTTGTGAAGAAAATGAGAAATGATTCTTGGAGCAGTAACCCAAGTAAAATTAAATTAAAAATTCTCTTTTAAATGTTCTCTCGTTTCGTTTAATATGACGAAGAAAGCAGGTATCCGTTATAAGGGAAAATAATTTTAAATCGATTCCTCATAAAAAATATCGATAATTTTGATTTTTATTACTGTCTATCTAGTCTAATGATTTATGTAAATTTAGTAATTTTTGAAAGTACATACACAATCAAGGATGCGGATAATTTTTTTTTTTTTTTTTTTTTTTTTTTTTTTTTTTTTTTTTTGTTTTTTTGTTTAATTGTCAAAAAATAATCATTTTCGTGCGAGGATTACTAGCGTGCTTTCTCAAATTTTATTCGTATTTGTCTTTTTCGTAAAGGAAAAATGTACTAAATTTTCACACGATTGTACGAGGCAAATGAATTTTTTTGCTCAATTGGCCTTATATGTTATAACTCGTTTGTTGAATAGTGAAACAGTGGTATTTTCAAACCTGTCACGAATTTGGATATTATCAGACATCGAATTCTAACCAGTCAGTATTTGGAACATTATTCCATCTTGACTTTTTCGTCAATATATGTACAGATGTTTATGGTGACTAGTAAGTACTTCAAAGTATATCATATCGACACACCGGCGAATTCATTAAATTAGAAAGTTGAACGGGAGCACTGGTTTTATGTAAATAATTGCATTTTAGTTATGAAAATCATTTGTTGGAAAATGGCATTAGAAGAACAAATATAATGTACGGTGGAATCATTCCGGACGTTAGAAATATTATTTTCGTTAACGGGGACGTGGATCCTTGGCACGCTCTTTCGATTCTCCACGATATCAATGAATTTTCGCCTGCAATTCTTATTCACGGTAGGGTTTCATAATCTCTTTATCCGTAGATTAAAGCATAAGTAATGTGTAAGTACGCACGTACGCACGTACGCACGTGTATACGCAAACAAGCACAAACGCACACGTGCACGTGCACGCACCGACAATATACACATATATGTATAATATACATTTTAGGATCATCTCACTGCCAGGATCTTCAATCCGACGATAATGAGGATGTTCCTGAATTAAGAGCAGCTAGGGAAAGGATAAAAAATATCGTTTCAATTTGGCTTCAGTAATGTTTGTTTATTCATCCGTTTTAGAATTATACGTAAATACAAAAAGAAAAAAAAAATGGATATGGGATTTTATGTGCATTTAATTAAAAACAAAAATACAATTGCTTATCGAACAAACGTAATCTTATCACTACCCTTCGACCGACAATGTAAAATAGCATCGAAGTCTTAACTATATTTAACAACTACAGTATTTCTTTTATGTGCTAAATATTTTGTACATCGGAAGACAGAAAGTGCCGTTTCAAAATAATATAAAATATACACGAACATTTAACATATGGGCTTTGTATAATAATTTTCACACTCTATCTGTCTCTCTCTCTCTCTCTCTCTCTCTCTCTCTCTCTCTCGCTCGCTCTTTTTTCTTTCTTCTTCCATGCCAAATGTATCCTTCTCCTTACAGTTATAATGAATGCCCCGTCGATACAAAAGTTCTTGTCTAACTTTTGACTCGAGACATCGCTAAGGTCCCCATCCCCCTCCCTCCTCCCGACACAGCAACAATAGAGCTCAAACAGGTCGATGTGCGAAATAAAATACAGGATTAATCGTACCGAAATACGTCTGCCCTAACTAACTTACAATCAAAACAATAGGTAGAAAAGAATTTAATGCAATACTTAAACATCAATATGCATACCACCTCGAGCCATCATTATTAATCTCGTAAAAATTGTAGCGAGGGTAAGAGGAGCGGAGGATCAGTCGACCTCGAGTTTCCTGAAGGAGCCGCACATGCCGTGCATCGTCGACTCGCCGCTGGAGGCGCTCGAGCAGGCGAAACCCTGCTTCAGGGCCGAGACCGCGCCTTCCCTCGCCTTCTCCGAGTACAGCTCCGTGCGGACGCGCATCTTGTCGTGATTCAGGAGCGTCGGCCGCATCTCGAGGAGCTCCTTGCGCCACAGATCTGTAAAGCCAGTTGGAATGAGGAAGGGTGGAACGTGGTGCGGAAGAGCTCTCCGATCTCGGCTTTATCGGGAGCATTGTAATGGCCGCTTTGGACCGGCAGCTGGCCATTCCCGATTTGCAAAAAAGGCCGGCGGCCGGGCGATTGCGCGCACGCAATTCGCGATGTCGGTGCGCTGCTTTGGCGCGCCAAAGTCCCGGGGAATTGAATTCGTTGATGCTATAACGCGAGGGAAGACGGGACTCTTACGTGGCAAATATCCTTATTCCACTTACGATTTGCTACGATCGTCACTCACCTATCATCTCATTCATGGGCATAGTACCGCCGTACTCCTTGGGCAGCAGGCTCGTGTCCATTTTGTTGTTCTTGGCGTCCTCGAGGCTCGTGTAAATTCTCACGCGGCTCCGAATTTTCTCCGATATCAAGGACATGCCGAAGTCCAAAGCGAACTTGAGGGAGGGGTGAGCGTTGATGGCGTGAACCTCCTTGTGACGCATTGGCAACGTTCTCTAAAAATTGAGAGGGCCATAAAAAGTCCTGACCTTGGCGGCCGTATCGTGCAGTCTCTGTTTCACTTAAATTCGTAAGATCAGATCGATAAAGAAAGAGACGAGTTCTCCTCGTCTCTTCCTAAGATTCCTTTACGTTTCTCATATATATATATATATATATATATATATATATATACGAAGAAGATTCATGTTAATATTCGAAAAAAGAAAGTACCATTATATATTGCACGATATTCTACTAAAGTCGTAAAAGTCTGAAAGTCAAATATTTATTTATGCGGTTAATATCCTAATGTCATCAATAAATATATACATCTGTATTGAAGATATTGATTTTTAAAAATGTACTAAACTATTACCAATTATTCCACCAGAGTATAAGTAACAATGAGTAATTAAGTAATTAGCGTTTAAGCTTAATAAAAATAAAAATAAAAAACAATAAGAGAGTGAAACAAATTTTTAATCAATATTTTAAAAACTTTAATAAAAAATTGTATTAAATATGTAACGCATTTATTTTAATAATAATAATAATGATAATAATAATGATAATCGTTTTTAGTATCGATCTAGTTGTATTTATATAACTATGCACGTAAGTATTTGTTGTTGTTGTTGTTGTTGCTGCTGCTGCTGCTGCTGCTGCTGCTGCTGTTGTTGTTATCTTGTTACGTTCTTAATTAAATAGGTTTACGTATGCACGTATGTATATATATATAAATATATATATATATGTCACTTGTATAATCGCCTCGAAATAAATACATAATCAATAGTTTTAATTTCTCTTGCTGTCGAACCTCTAATAATATTATTATTAATTGCCCGATGATAAATGAAAAATCTTATGGTAAATTGCTTTGGTTTATACGTATTAATTGAGCAGAATTCATACATGGAGGAATTCCATACGGTAAGACCGATTGCAATTTGAGACGATAAAGTCAAGATGAAGAGGACAAATAATTATCTTTCACGGGTTAAAAGTATAAACCTTTCACTGCTCGGTTGAGCGAAACATCGCGTCGACTGCACATTGCACTTGGCCGAAAGAAAAGTAAAACTCGTCTCGAGGTGTCGGTGCACGGGTATTTTGTGAATTGATAAATTGCTCAATTTTCATGAAATAATGAGACTAATAATGTATTCTGCGGAGACCCGATTCTTATTCCCAACAGCTCGTACATACAATTATTATCTAAGCGTTCCTTACGTTTCTTATCGACATCCATGTACTTCGCGGCGTTTATCAAATAATTTATTTTGTGTGTGAGCAATTAATTTTTATGATGTAAAACACAATGCCGTTATCGTTAAAATTGTTTAATTGTTCTCTCGATTAATTAAACGTTTTGTTTATTATTCGAGCGATTAAGTGTGGTCTTTTAATTAAGTTATTTTAAATAAAATGAATATTTTTTTGTTTTGTTTTACAGGAAATCGCTCTATAAATGATAAGGCTCTCTCTCTCTCAATTTTAAACAACAAACATTTTTCATTTTTTTCCCCATTCTTTTTAATAATAATTCCATTTAATAAGGGTGATGATGAAAAAGCTGCTCACCTCGCCATTCTTAACAATACGAACAGCTTCTTTGGGAGTAAACAGAGTAAGATGCGGAAAGCTGACACCGGCGCCATCTGCAAAGTGAACGAATCCACGAATCTGACTTTCCTCGTCTTCCATCAAGCTCTCATATGTAATTGCATGAATTTTACACATATCCGCGTTAGTATATTTGTAGGGGTCGAAAACTCCTGTAAAGAAATTATATTTTCATCGTGCATCCTTAATGTTCACAAACAATACACGCACACACGTATGGAAAAGTGAGATGAATGTGTATCGGTCGATTTGCTCAAAATTAGATAATCCGGTGTGCGAAACATTC